TGAAGCTGCTCCGATACTTCAACCACGAGAACATCATCTCCATTCTCGACATCCAGAAGCCTCGGAACTACGAGACCTTCACCGAAGTGTACCTGATCCAGGTGTGTAGCTCCGACATTCAGTGATATCCGTGGTTACTAATCGTACCCAGGAACTCATGGAGACCGACATGCACCGCGTCATTCGCACACAGGAGCTTTCGGACGACCATTGCCAGTACTTCATCTACCAGACCCTGCGCGCGCTGAAGGCCATGCACTCCGCAAACGTGCTTCATCGCGATCTCAAGCCCTCCAACTTGCTCCTCAACGCCAACTGCGATCTCAAGGTCTGCGATTTCGGTCTGGCTCGATCAGCTGCCTCGACTGAGGACAACTCCGGGTTCATGACGGAATACGTAGCAACGCGATGGTACCGTGCGCCCGAGATTATGCTTACCTTTAAGGAGTACACAAAGGCCATCGATGTATGGAGTGTGGGATGCATTCTAGCAGAGATGCTTAGCGGAAAGCCTCTGTTCCCAGGAAAGGACTGTAAGTGTTGTGCCAGTACTGTTCTCGGAACTGTTACTAACAATCATCAGACCACCACCAGCTTACGTTGATTCTCGATGTGCTCGGCACACCCACCATGGAAGACTACTACGGTATCAAGTCCCGCCGAGCTCGCGAATACATCCGATCGCTGCCCTTCAAGAAGAAGATCCCGTGGAAGGCTATGTTCCCCAAGACCAACGACCTGGCGCTTGACCTGCTTGAGCGGTTACTCGCTTTCAACCCCGTCAAGCGTATTACAGTCGAGGATGCGCTCAAGCACCCGTACCTTGAACCGTACCACGACCCAGATGACGAGCCGACCGCCGACCCGATTCCAGAGGAGTTCTTCGACTTTGACAAGAACAAGGACAACCTGACAAAGGAGCAGCTGAAGCGTAAGTCAAAGATCATACGCGTGCCCTGAACCTCTGCTAACTTTCGATAGTCCTCATCTACCAGGAGATTATGCGATAAACTTGTCCACGTTTCCCCCCTCAAATGCGAGATATACACAAGATACCACGATCGAGTCGATTTCCGCAACTTGTCCACAGCTAGCTGGTCTGAGCTCATTACCATATTCGAGGAAGGGTCTACAATCATCCTGTAATTTGGATTCGCAGCAAGACATGATGTTAGCCAAGTGACGGTAGGAAAGCATACGAGGAGATGTCGCTTCGAATTCGCGCTCTCTCAAGAAAGAAAGAATCTCCTATAACCACAGTTCGTAAGATAGGAAAAGGCAGAAATGAATTGCTTATTTGCAATCCCAGATGTTGACTTTGCATGTGCTCATGAATGTGAGTGCTTTGTTTGGGAAAGGATGCTACATCTTCAACGCCCAATCCATGCGTTGAATCTTCTCTTCCTCTCTAGTACCTCTCCTACTACGCTGTTGTCCATCCCAGATCACGCCTTTAAAGTTCATCTCACCTCGCGCCTGCACCTGCGTATCCGTGGGCCTCGTCCAATCGTAGATAACCGACTCACATCTACTCCCCTTCCATGACGCATGCGCACTTCCCGTACTACTTCCACTCATTCCCCGCGACTCATCTAGATGATCCCTAACCTCCGGCTCCGACACAGCGTCCAATACAGACGACCGCCGCGTCGGACTCGTCGTTGAGCCCCTTCGAGCAACTTCGTTCCACCACCGCTTATCATATGCATCATATGAGAGCGAGGAACTGCGCCGACGTGCTGGAACGGGGTAGATGGGGTTGTGCAGTGGAAGTGGATCGAAAGAGCCTCTGAGAGATTGCCGCCGGGAGTGTGTGCGTGAAGGACGCTCTGTCGACGTCAACGGAAGCGTATTCTCGTGTATAGCAAAGGCATTGGGGCCTAGTGTTGTAGACCGCGAGTCTTGCGTTCGCCATTGAGCTAGTCCGGGCCATTTCCTCTTCTCAACATCTCCGCTATTGTATAGAGAGGTTGGCGTCGTGGCACTGGTCGATGACGAAGAAGACGTAGCAACAGAATCCTTCCTCACAACCACGGATTTCAGCTTCAACAAACTCGCCGCTCTGCTCCTCCTCGTATCTTGGCTACCATGCCCACATGAACTACACTGCCGGTTCCACGTCACTCTTCCCGTTACTGGGTTGACCTCGAAGTTTCCACCGTTCAATTGCGTCTGTGACTGGCGCTCTAGATCGGCTTGTCGTCTTTGTGCGAAGTGGAGGCGGAGGTACCATGCTATAGCCACGAGTATGAGGAAGAGGATTATGGATAGGGCGATTGCGGAGTTGCGGTCGATGTTTGTGGAGGGGTGAGTGGTGGAAGATGCGGAGTCGGATTTGTGTTTACTTGCTATTGCACCACCGATCATGGCGGCGACCAACATGCTGAGGTTGTTGAGTGGTTTTGCTGGGAGGGACGGCTGGTGGATGCATTGGTGGAGATGTGTACGGGACTTCGACGGAAGCGGTTGTGTGCATGAGATGCGAATGGTCGCGTGTGCTGTGCTGTATTACACCCTGTGACTTCATAGTCTGGCTTTGTACCAGAGTGTCGTTATCTAGGCACGCTTGGTGCGGTCGAGACCGAATGGACTGGTAGCGGACCAGTGTTGGAGATGAGGGGCAGTAAGTGTCGCGTTGGAAGCCGAGTACAGAGCCATGTCGTATCCATTCTTCTAATCTCTAGATCTTGCTTGTAGTGTGGAGTTGTTGTGCCCTTGAACGCCGCCCAATGCCCGTGTGTAATTCGTATCCGTACACAGTGGTGTCCTTCGCTATGCAACAGATCGCCTACCCAGTATCTTCATATACACATAATCATACACCATATGCCCCCATCTCCCTTATCTCCTGACCCTAGAAATCACACCTCCCATCCTTCCACCCCGTCCTCCACCTCTCCTCCCACTTCTTACAATCAAACTGCTCCTTCCCCAGCTTCTCATTCACAGCATTATGCGCCTCGCACATCCACTCTCCAAACTCGCTCCTCGAGCTGACTCTCGGTGTGTTCTTCTGCATCCACTTCTGGAAATCTTCGGCGCACACCCAGCATGGGTACAACTTGCCAAACGTGGTGAGGAAGGATTTGGTTTCGGATTGGAGTTGGGGAGTGGGGTTCGTGGGGTATGCGCCGGTTATGGAGTGGAGGAGGGTCCATGAGGAGCGGCCGAGGGCTTCGACGTCGGGTGGGCAGTCGGCGGGGAGGGAGGGCGCGGTCGTGGTGGGAGCGGCGGCCGGTGTGCGCTTTTTGGGCATTTTGCCTGACATGGCCATGAGGGAGGTTAGGTCGTTGCAGGCTCGGCATCTATAGTAGGGGCCCAAATATTAGCATGCGTCCCGTTCGTAGAGTTGATTCTCGTCCAGCGCGTATGTCTTCCGGCGCATTCGAGAGTTGACGGTACTTACGGCTTGCCATCTGGACCGAGTATAATGCCATTCGCCAGCTTCTTGTACCCAGGCCTTCCCGCGATATCCTGGCCTTCATCTTTCTCATTCGGTTCCTGCGCCATCTTCTGCTGTCTGGAAGCTCAGTGGTGGTTGTGATATGTCGCGGCGAGCAACTGGTGATTTCTAAGCTCTTCCATGATCGGACCTCGGCGGTATGCACGCGTTCCAGGGTCAACCATGTCGTGCGTCATCGCGCCTTCGCCGTTGACGGCGGTACATCTGCGGGTTATGCGTCGGCGTCGGAGTTCGTGTTTCTCGTGCTTCCGTGACTTCGTAGCGCGATTGTAGATATGTTGTTGCTTTCGAAGTGCTCTTGGCGCGTAGATAAGAGGGACGCCGTGGACGTGCAGTGGAGCGTGCAAGAGATTCACATCTGAACATCACAAACGCATCGTCCACATCCCGGCTATCATCGTCTGATCATGGATGTACCGGTGGCTGCTAATGTACTAGGAACGCTGGGAGCAGTATGTGTTGTCCATGATCTCGAAAGTAATTGTGCTGACCAAAGCAGGTGTGTTGGTCCATTCAGGTACGCATGTCTTCCACCGTCACTAGGGCTCAGCTAAGAGCATGGTCTAGTTGATCCCCCAAATCGTCATCAACTATCGAAGGCACAATGCTACTGGACTCCAACCAACTATGATGATGTTATGGGCATGGGCTGGCGTGCCCCTCGGTGTTTATAACATCGCTGAAGACTATAACATTGCTCTACGCATTCAGCCTCAGATTCTTACCGTACTGAGCCTGGTGACGTGGATCCAGTGCTACTACTATGAGAAGGTAAGTGGTTCCATCAACAGCTCGAGTATGAGTACGACACCTAACATCCCAAAGAGTTGGTCGGTTCTCCGCTCGCTCGCAGTTGTCGTTCCTGTAGCGTGCCTCATGGGCGGCATTCAAGCTGGTCTCATCTTCGCCATTCAGCATGCCAAGTCAGAGGGACTACATTGGCCCAGTATTCTCATGGCTATTGCTTCAGCCGCTCTGCTTGCTGCTGGCGTCCTGAGACATTACGTGGATGTCTACGTTCACCGGACCGTTCGTGGCATATCCTTCATCTTTGTCGGTATTGATGCCCTGGGAGATCTCTTCTCCTTGGTGTCAGTCGTCTTCCAACCTAAGCTTGACGTCTTGGGTCTGGTCATTTACGGCTCCGAACTGGTGCTGTGGATCGGCATCTTCCTGTGCGGAGCGTATTACAATCTCCCGTCGTGGTACGCTGCAAAGGAGGAGACGGAGAGGACCAACGAGGGCTTGGGTGAGCCGAACAGTGGGCCGGCGGACACGACTGGCATCGCACTTCACGATCTGCCCTCCAGCACTTCCGTGTTCAGGACGCCATCGGGCGAAATTGAAGCGATCCGACAGCGCAGTATGGGCTCAATACGTGTTGCTGGTCTGGAACATGTACCGCGGAGGGTGTAGGTGAAGCGCAAATGCAGTCAACTTTCAGCACATCACTTTGAATTGCGCATTTCGCCCCACAAACCGTTTGCACCCCCAGCATCTTTTTCGTACAAAGGTCCAGGCCCTGCGGCTACCTCCGATGCTGTGTTTGCCCGTGACGCGTTCGTTGCTTCCACCCGTGGACGCTCTTGAACTTGGGCAGGCGCACGCACCTTCTCCACAATCACCATCCGCACTCCCCACACTCAGACCGGACAACTACCAGCGACTAAATTCACGCTCGACCTCCTGCACCACAGAATATCAACTGCGTCACTATAATAACCCGACGCCAGTAGCTGATACAAGTAAGCTAACCCACGCTCCCGCCGACTCCATCACCGTCCGCAACCAGAAGTCTGCTTCACCTGGCTCGGCCTATCACAGCGCTGGAATATCTCAGCAATACTAACGAGTTCAAATAGCCAGGAATACTCACAAGCCAGCTCTCAACTCCAACAGCATCATGGCTTCCACCACTACCACTACGACCAAGGTCACTTCGCTGGACTCTCAGTCCGATGGCCCGTCGGTGCCGAACCCTACACCAGCCACTGAGTCTGTAGGCAGTCCCTACGAGCCCGTCGACCCTCCTCCGGAGATGGACTATACCGCCGTCGCCAGGATACTGGGCCCTATCCAAGAGTCGCTCAACGAGGCCGCCCTGGAGGCCGCCTACCCATCGCCACCCATCAACACACCCATCATCGGTTCTCCAGCTCCGTCGGTTTCATATCGCTTCCCTGTGACACGCGGTCGCGGCTTCAGTGTGGTTGGCGATAGACTCGCGCAGCTGAAGATCAATGACCGCAAGCTTCGTCACCGCGAGGGAGATGTGGGCTCCAGCAACTACTCACCAGAGGCATCCATCAACGAGGACGAAGAAGTCGATATTGCGAGCATATCCGAGGTGTTGAGCGACGGCGGTAGGGACAAGGAAGACCCAGGACAAGCTCGTAAGACCCTTGACCCCATCGATGTGACTGAGGGCTCAGTTCCTATCGCTTTAGGTTCCCCTGCCGTCAACCCGCGCATCGTAGAGTACCTGACCTTCACCTCCGACGACTTGCCTACGAACTCGGTTGCACCTTGCTTCCCCTCCACACTCATGAAGACAAGCACCGCGTCGATTAAGACCATCGTTGGCGGCAGCGACGGCGCTAGCTTGAAGAGCGATGGCGTCACTGAGAAGAGCAACTGGGCTGAGGAGATTGAAGACATGGTCGACCGTACATGCCTACGTCTCGAGCAGCTGGCCGACGATGAGTGGAAGCGTGATGGCAGCAAGAGCTTCGCCGATTACTACGTCGCTCGCCTTGAGCGTCTGCTCAGCAGCGCTAAGCGCTCCGTACCCGTCAGCATTCAGAAGAACAAGGAGACCCAGGAGTGAGAGGACAAGAATGGTGCGCCGAAGAAGCACTCAATAGTATGAAAATGGCGCAGGGAAAGGTGACGGCGTTCACGGTACGGGTAATGCTTTGATTTTCTGCACGGTTAATGGTCCAAAAGTTGGACAAGTGCTGTCATGGTGTTCTATACCCATAATGTCTTTTCTTAACGATCCATGGGTCTATGATAATGACTTCACGATGTCAGGTTCAAGTAGTGGGCCTGGATTAGCAGTAATAATAATGTGTCTTTCTTACACATCTTGAATCTACTGTGCACATGCCATTGTATCTACGTCAAGCGTGAGTACGATGCATTTCTCACACCAAGTCCCTGCAGGATAGCAACAACACCCAGCGTGATAGCCGTAGGTCTATCATTGCTCTTCCAGTAAGCCGCACCCGCTGCTGCCAACAGGGTCGTCAGGACACCCGCGATGCTCTTGTCGTACACGTCGTAGATACCCGTGACCGACCACTTGTAGTTGAGAATGCCTTTCATAACGTCAATCACGACACACCCAACAACGACCTTTGCCCCGCAGACTTACTCATGATAACAAAGAACCCGCTGCCCTCGTACCAACCGATCTTACTCGCGCCGCGCAGCATGAGTGGCAGTGTGTTCATCGTCGGGTGTTTGAACTGGTCCAGACCTTTCAACTGCACCACCTTGTTAGCACACTACCACATCTATCAAACTACATCGTGTATTACCGTATGTCCAATCGCCAAAATAGCGTACGCAGCCGAGGAAGCCTGCAGCAAGGGGTGCGACTGCGAGGTTATCGACGTCATGGTGGTGAATGCTGCTTTTAGAATTGTCTTAAAGCTGGTGCTGGGTATGAGAAAGGATACGAATTGGAAAACAGAAGAGAACAAGAGGGTTCTAGGGCGTTTGCAGAGACGCGCATGTCACGATCGCGTCGTTGTGATGCTTTTGGCTGGGACCGAGGTTAGTGTGGATTGGGAACGTTTTCCCCACTTTTTGCGGGTCTCGCTGTCGACGCGACTTCCACGAAGACGGTGGCTGCTACTGCCCACATGGTCAGATTCGACGGGCAGGTGGTTGAGCATGAGAGAAGATCTGATTTGATGCTAACATACGTCATGTCTGGCATGCGACAACGAAATGGACGTGCAAGCTCTGTTGCCGCCGTGCCTGTAATGCGGTATCACAGACACCAGGTATGCTTCGTTTCCAGACTTGACTGCAAGCCAGAACTCATCACTACAAGACGGTAATCATGCTGACTGGATCTAGGCTTGCGACTGTGGTGTTTGTGCTACAGTGACTTGCTCATCAAGCTGCCTTGCGCCTCGCCCGGGCTGTGCGATCATCTCGTTAATCAGCGCGAATCAGAACATTGCGTCGACTAGGCAGGATGCTTTTGCTAACTTGCATTGCATTTGATACGTTGGACGTATCTGATCGGTATATGTGCACTGCCCCGCGACTCCAGCCACCACATCTAAGCCCACCAACATCTATATCTTCGTCCAGCCGCGCTTCGCCAAATACCCATCACTCCATGATCCTGTTCCTCCAGCTCACAATCAACCTTCTTCTCCATGGCTCGCCAAGCTCGTTCGTCTGTCTTGAATCAGAACTACTGATCGGCCCACCTGATCGCTGTAACCCAGTCAAACGCGAGGGCACTGATTTTCAAGATTTTATCCACGTGGTTACTTTCAGTCTTCCATTCAATGGAACCAAAGAATCCGGCCCTAACGACCCAGGATGCTTTGCCTTCGGAAGTAGTGCCGGGTGGCACAGAAAACTACCGGGCTCGAGAATGGGTTCGTCCTCCTGGTGGCGACGGAGCTCAACCAGCCTGCTTCGGTCTCAGTCCACTCCGTATACCAGAGCGCTCAGAGAGTGATAGACTTTGTTCCGCTTGTATGAGTCTCGGTGGCCCAGACAGTATGCGCTTTAAAGAATTAAACAAGTTCCGCAACGTCGTTGTGAATCATCACAACTCGTTTGATGCGTTAATCAAGAGTGTACGCGGAGGCTGCCATCTTTGCGGATTGATGTTGATGGCATGGGAAGAAAATTGTCGCTTTGTTCAAGAGCCCGGGGGTGGATGGCTGGGTAAGGCGAAATATGATTCGGCTTCCCTGAATGACGGCATCACCCTCCAGTTCCAGAGGGTGGCAACGAAAATACCGCAGACTGATGTGGTCTTTAGTGAGTTACAGGTTATCATACTATGTGGGGAATTGGGGGAGTTCGGACGCTTGATCTGTGAATTCCCAATGGACAGTGAGCGTTCCTCAACCCTAGTACATCACTAGTGCTTCATGATTAACTTTTGAAACAGAAAATCATCTTAGCTTGCCCAGAACATGTCTCCCATCGGGCAACGACAACAATACGGGCTCGTCGGCGAGTTTTGCCAGGATCAAGGCTTGGCTGGATATCTGCACAAGTTCACATCCAGCCTGTTCCCAAGCTGATTGTCAGCCTCCACCCTTACCAACGAGAGTAATTTCAGTAGGAACTAAGGGTTCAAGCAAATGCTATCTAGTGTCTGGAAACCAGAAAAACGGCCACTACGCCACTCTTAGCCACTGCTGGGGAGATCCCCGCAACCGACCGTTGTCGACGAATGATCGGACCCTTCCTTGTCGGCAGCGAGGCATCGAAGACAAGAGGTTACCAAAAACCTTTCGGCACGCCATTCAAGTCTGCAGGGAGATAGGTATAGAATACATTTGGATCGATTCTCTGTGTATCATTCAAGGGCAAGAGTCGCAAGAAGATTGGACAAAAGAAGCACCGAAAATGGGAGCCGTGTACGGAAATTCACTGTTGAACATTTCAGCGGCAGCCGCAGCAGATTCGACACAGGGATGTTTCAAAGAGCGCCTTGGTCTGATGATCTGGCCTTGCCAAATTATGCTATTCGGACACCCGTGCTACATATCCCGGTATCCAATGCATGACGAGGAGATCTCTGGCGATCCAGGAGACCAAAACCCATGGAAAGGGAATTTATCAGCCCGAAGAGCCTGGATTCTACAGGAGCAGATTTTGTCTCGCCGCTCCATCATATTCTCACAAGATCTGCTCATCTGGCGTTGCCCGACGCTATCGACCAACGAAAAGTTCCCGTTAGGAATCCCGCACGCTCCAAATATATCATTCGATAACCATCGCCTTCTCCAATGCATAGTAAATGATATAACACCATCCATACCTAAAGAACAAACGGTGGACAATCACGGCTGCTGGTACAGAATAGTAGAGGAGTTCACGTCTCGAGTTCTCACATACGAGGACGATAAGCTCCCTGCCATAGCTGGCATTGCAAAAAGGTTTGGAGTGGCAGTCGATGACAGCTACCACGCGGGACTGTGGAGACACGATTTGATCCGAGGTCTCTCATGGTGCGCGAAAGATAACACTACCATATGCAAAGCTAGATCACCTAGGGCACCTTCGTGGTCATGGGCCTCAATCAATGGTGGCGTGAGCTACTCACATGTTTTACCAAACGACCACTCGTCGCGCGTCCTCTGGTCTCCATTGATCAATATTCTCGATGTTTCGGACCCAACAACCTGCGAAGATCATCCGTTCGGAGCAACTTCTAGAGCATCGTTCAGCTTGTCTGGCGTTTTGTTGGCAGTGAGGCGAGACGAGCACAATCATCCCGGGCTAGTCTTGGTCGGTCACAGCAGCGGCTTTCCGTCTCCCACCTTCTTCCCGGACGTCCAGGATATCAACTGGTCAGATCGAAAACCCTTGGTCTGTCTACCGTTATGCATACGCCATTGGCATCACTATCGAAGTTTCTCTGATGACGGCGAATTGAACTGGGAGAGATTCTTGAAGGAGGGAAAAGATGTGTTCACCAAGGATAACAATTTGTACTGCTTGATCCTCCAGGCTATCGAAGGAAGTAAAGATAAGTACAGGCGAGTAGGGCTATGGATGGTGTTCGGTAAGCTGACAATGGAGGCTAGTAGGATGGCCTTGTTCGATGAACGTAGGTCCATTACCATCATTTGAATGTCATATGGTTTCGAATACACAGCTTAGCTAAGGACTTTCCCCCTCCTTTGCATTTGTTGTATAGTATCAAGAGAAAGGTGGGTAATTAAACGTGCGGAAAGTAGCGAAGCTGTCGAAGGAGAAAAATTCCATCGCACATAACTGTCCTGATTCAATGGAACAGATGACTATGGTTGCTGCCAGCCGAGCTTACTTCACACGAAACGTTGCGAGGCCCCTTTAATTGGTGCAACCACTAGGCGATAAAACTCACCTGGGCAAAGACTGAAAACTCTTCTGAGAATACGTAGGTAGGTGAATATGCTCGCAATGACTCAGTAGTCATCTCCATCAGCGCAATGCCCACACCACCCACAATCTTTATCGCAAAGCGCCCAATCCTGGTCGTCGTCGTGCCACACCGTCCGAACATGTTCTTGTGCCCACGCGCCTTCATCAGAGTACTCGTCCTCGCTGTCGATGTCGCTAGACGTGGCTTCTTCAATTGAAGTGGAGGTCACTCCTAATATGCGAGATTGTGCTTGGTGAGATGAAGCCTCGATAGCATGTCAGCGTTCGAACAATACCTCCCACGACGCAAGATTCTGAACTTACACTCCCCGAGCCCAACGGCGCACCCACTCCCATTGCAGAACTTGCGCGGACCACCTTTCGCTTGTGCGACGACGACTTATTATGCTGCGCCACAGCCTGCTTACTCCCGAAAGGCTTTTTACAAACGTCGCATCTGAACATGGTAGCGTGAGACGGTGCAGTACTTTGGGACGGCACGACACTATGAGACGGTGCATCGCGATGCTGCTCCATTGCTTTCTGGCTGCAGAACCGGCGGTTGCATTTGTGACATGTGTGAGCGCGGCGAGAAACTGCTTCATTGGTGCCCGTGTGGCCTCTTAGCGCGGTCTCGGAAGGGAAAGACTTGGAGCAGATGGGACACTGGTTCGCCATGTTGGAGAGGGGTGAGTCGAGAGAGAGGCGAGATACTTGGAGGTAAAGTCTATGTACCCCACTTTGTGTCACCATGCACTCCCCTAAATATGGTTGGGATCGACTGCTATGAAATAAATGCAAAATGAAACCTGGTCAGAGAGGGCAGCATAACCTACTACGTTGAAAGGTGGGTACAGTTTGATTCTTCTGCTTCACTTCGCTGATCACTTCATGGCTCAATATTGCCTATGATTTTCATTTGTTGTAACTAGCACACCGTAATCTCTCTCATAGACCAAAGTTATGCTTGGGTATCATATGCCAATCCGTCATGTAGACCTCGACTCATTCGCCACCATTCAAATCACGTAACTTGCGCCCTTCCCCTTCATCTCCCTTCTCTCACTCTCTTACAGCCTCTCCGTTACCAGTCTTAGTGCTCTTCTCAGTACCCTCTCCTTCCTTCATTCTGTCGTCAATCCCTCCATCATACTGCCTTGCGGCCGGCAAAGCAGGCAGAATGCCGCTAGCAATGGCATCGAGATCAGATGGCATGCAAGTGGCCGGCGAAGTATAAGGACCCGTAGTGTCTTGCTCCGCACCCAGCTTATCAACTTTCTGTTCGGCCCACGCGATGGCGCCGTCGACTGCGGTTTTGACAGTCTGGACGACTTCTGAGACGATGGCTGCGGCGGTCGGGGTGGCTTCGGTGGTGCCGTCCGTGCTGATCGTGCTATTATCCGACGCTGATCTTGGGGATGCAGATGAAGACTTCGTAGTATCTTGTGTTTGGTGAGGAGAGTTCTGACAGGCGTCAGTATGTGTTGGGAATAGGGTGAACGTGAGA